AGTAACAACTAAAGATGACCGTTAGACACTCCTAGAAATACTTGTATTTGCCCACAGCATTCATTCTTCCATCCATCTATCAGCATTCTGGCAGCTGTAATGAAAAGCAGAATGTATTAGAAAATATAATAAACTTCTCATTATTATAATGGACTTTGATCTAACATGGTTCCCTGAGGAAACAGATATGAATCATTGTGAGTATTACAGCTTAATAAATATACCTTTCCAAAATAAACTAACAAAAGGAAGGATTAGAGAAATACTTCACAGAAGTAATATCTCACTGTAATAATGATTTGATAGAAAACTACCAGTGATACATTTCCAGTTGTACCACAGTTCAGTTTTGGATGCCTCAGTGTAAGTAGACATGCTAGGCAGAGAAAGCCTCTGGAGAAGAATGACAAAACAGGTTAAAGTTATCTGAAGATTCTCATGAATGATTACTCCAACTATAGGCATTTGACATATAAAGACGGGGTTAACAAAATATACTTTCTTAAATTTAAGCTTTTGATTTTTGATTCAAAATTGTGGGTTACCAGATGCATGGTCAAACTTTTTCAGCAGGAGAGATGAGAGCCCATTTTCATGAGAGCTACAGACACTGTTCTTTGCAGTTACCTTCTACAGGCTTTTTACAAAGTAGTCCATGTATCCCTTTATCTACAGCCCATGAGCTGAAAATGACTGGCTTAAGTGAGACTAAAATGTGATTTCAAACATAAAATAATGAATGTCAATGAGAAGACTAGCCATCCATTTCTTTCTTCGTTCCCCCACTGTATAAACATTTCAAGGCATCTGACTGAACTCAGATTCAAACACTCAGGACATCTAAATTAAAAGAAATACTACTTTATCTATTTTTAATAGTAGTCAATCTGTGATTCATTGACATGTAACTAAGTGCTAAAACATGAACATAACAATCAGAATTGAATATGGGTCCACTGTCGTTCCTGGGTGGAAAAAGGTTTTGATTGATTCAGCTTTTCAAATCTACACAGGAACTTTTCAGTTTTAGGACAACTCCTCAGTTTGGTAAGTATTCAACTTTTTTTTTTTTTTAATGCCTAATAAAAAGGTATCTTCTCTAAATCTATATCTATGTAGAAATCATGTCCATAAATATTTTGCCAGAGATGGTAATTCCATAATATAATTTAGCAGAAATCTGTCCTATACTCAACAATATAAATACTCTGGGGAATTTATACTCTAGTCTTTACTGGTATATAAGACCATATGTTTGGAACAAAGTATCTGTTTATAAATCACCATTTTTTCAGAGTGCCATTGATATCAAAGCTCAGAATGACTAAGACATTAATGCAATATTTGTCTGTCAGGTTAGTTTCATTTTTCTCTGAATATATCAAACCAATAAAGTGAATTTGCAAGGTAAGACTTTGTGAATGCCCTGTATTAAGGTACTGTATTCATATTAAATATGGCATAAAACAAGAAGCTACTGCCTTCTTTTCTGCCTTGGTGAACTTTTATTTTTATACTACTAGATGGATAGGAATAAATGGTACATGCTTCAGCCTGTTGACTCAAAGTCACTGATTATTCTTATGTGGATAACTGCAGTAGCATGAAGATTGATTACAGTAGTTCATAAGCAGCAGCTGCCATTTACAAATGCCAGCTAGTGCTTCTCATGGGGATTTGTGATAGAATACAGAAATAAGCCAGAATTACTTCTATTAGCTGAATACATGACTTTTTTTTTTTTGCAGTCACATGGTGTGAGTCACATTTTGCAGTCACATTGTGTTTCCCCAAAATAATCTTTTTTAAAACACTGGCTGATTTCAAGTAAATTTGACAGAGGTAGCTGATATTTAGAAGGCAATTAAGTTCTTACAAGTAGTGTCAAAGTTGGTGATGAAGTATGAGAGACAGAAAGAGGTTTTTGAAGTGTCCTGTCTAAAGGAGAGGCTGTCATGTATATTTATTGTGCATTAAGGGATGTATACAACAAACAAATCTAAGTCCTCAAAAAAATCCAGATGCAAGCAATGCTTTCTCTAGCCAACCCGGTATATGTGTCAATTCATGTTGTGTATCATCTTGTGATCACACAGTTGTGGCAGCTTGGGTTTTAAGAGACAAGCCATAAACAAATTTCTCAACAGAGTAATAATAACTAGGTGTTTTATTTAATAAGGTGAGTTCATAGTGGAAACATCACCCAAGTAACTCTGTTTAGTTTTTAACCTGGTGCAGGTTTTTTAACAGTGTAGATATATGTGTGTATATGGATCTATGAGTGTGCATATATGTGCATACATTTTATACAGTGTATATACTTTAACCAAGACTATCAGTTTGAGAACTTTCTTCAGCCTGTTTTGTTTTAAACAGGACATATTTCTGCCAGCTTTACAGTGAATATTATCGACTGGTGACTTACTCCATTGGTTTTATATCAGATTGCTCATAGATTAAAAAGCTAATCAGCAGGAGGCATAAGTGCTGCCAAGTTTTTCAATTTTATCACAAAGTCTTGTGATATTTGTTTTTTACTGTGCCTTAGCTGCTGGGACAGGAGAAGTTTGTGGGAATCTAAGTTTCCATTAAAACTAGGAAATTTTAGTGGAAACTTAGACATACTAGCCTTTCAGGATGTGGATATAAATTGAAAATATTAAGCAAATAACCTCAGAGGGTCAAGATATGAGAAGGCAAATACAAATATTTTTCTTTCTTGAGACATTCTCATGATATGTCATAATTTTCCACTGTCAATGATGAATGGAGTGTCAGAATTTTTTCATCAACATTAAAATGCTATGGGGTGCCTTCAGCAGAGATGAAATATAGACATTTGGTTTTCTTCATTAGGAGATAGATCAGCATAATCAATATGTGGGGCTGAAAAACAAGAAAAAATACTATTATGGATTCAGCAGAATTATTACCCTTCATCTATGACAGTTGTCAGAACTATTAATCTCCTGCCTGAAATCAGATTGCTGAAACTGTATCAGTATCCTTAGCAAGTACAAGCATGTGTCTCTTCTCATTCAAGACAAGCTTTGGTGTATGATTTTCCTGATGGTGGTTTTACAAAACTTTGTGTTTCAGTGAAAAATAGAAAAAGACTGAAAAGCTAGGAGGATCTAAAAAACAAGGATATACCTTGTGTGCAGCCCAGGGAATAATAAAATGGCAAAGCACTGATGGAAAAAGAGATTCATAACTTTGAAAAGTTTCTTTTCTTTGTTTGTGGGGAATGTCTAATCAAACTGTATAACAAATAGAGAAACTTTACTCCATCGAGTGCAGTGGACAAAGATTAAAAAAATAATGTCAATTTGGCTGTTTAGATGGTTAACTCAACCTCATAATCCTATGCAAAGTGGTAGTGGTTTGCTAAACAGTTCACTATTTTCTTTTTATGTTCTTGTTGTGTGTACTCTAATTCCTCTCAGTTAAGTTAAGAGGACACACTAAACTTTAAGAAACAGTGTAATAAATTGCAGCAATCTAAAAAGCTTCAGGACTGTGCCATCAGGAGTAATGGCCTAGCAGAAATAACGTGTATTTTAAGAAATATTTTTAATCAAAATCACAGACAGAAAACCAAGTTTAATGTACTCAGCTGTAATTTTCCAGGAGTAACAATTTTCCTCTGCTGTGAAGGGTATTCTGGATGAAGCCACCTAAAAGGACATTGGAGCCAAACCTTTAAACAGAAGGTAATCAACTGGTGAAAAAAAAACCAGAAACTCTCTGTTATTTCCCTCACACTAGTTATTCTGTCTTTGGCTCATCCCCAAAATAAGCCATGTTTCCTGAGATATAGCTCTCCCTGGCTCCTGATGCCGTCTCTCTCTCTCTCTCCCCCATGGATACTCTCCCCAGTGAGAGTATCACATGGATATTCTCTTTTGCATTTTTTATAGCATTCGCATCTCTAGCTGTAAAAGATTAAATTAAAGGAGTATTTGACCTGCCTTCTGTGGTCAGTGCCACTCTAGCAAGCAATACATCACTGGAGGAATGTCAACTTCATGACCCATTACTCAAATGAGGCGCCAACTAAGAAGAGTGAGTTGAGAGATCCAAAAGTTTTAAATTTATTGTCACGATACATCTAAAAATAATAAAAAAATCCTCCTATAGTACAGGGAGTGGGAGGTAGAGGAAAGAGAGTGTAGAAAGTCTCTCAGGTCAATCAAAACTTTAAATAATATGACTCTGGCAAGCAGGTTTTTTTCACATGAGATATCTAATTTTGCTAATTTGATTTTCCTCCTTGTGTAAAAGGCAAAATGTTTTTTATTGTCCCTCAGTACAGCCTTTAGACTAGATTTTGGGCAGACTTACAGTGTCAGATTGGATTTGGATGGATGAAGATATACCAATCACTCCACCCTTGAGTGATGAATTGTTAGGAAAAAAGCTTTTCTCCAGAGGGTGGTTGGGCACTGGAACAGGCTCCCCAGGGAAGTGGTCACTGCCTGTCTGAGTTCAAGAAGCATTTGGTAAATGCTCTCAGGCACATGGTGTGATTCTTGGTCTATCCTGTCCAGGGTTGAGAGTTGGACTTCAATGATCCTTGTGGTTCCCCTACGGCTCGGGATATTCTATGAGTCTATGGTTATCCTGAAGCAAGGAGGACCAGTTTGTGACTCAGCTGCTACCCTGCTGCAGTTTTTCAGGCCAGATTGTGTAAGCTGGGTCTCATTCCAGGGGAAACAGTTGGGGTAGCAGTAGCTGCAGAAGTTTAGTTTGACAGTCCTGTACCCACCACAGAGTAGCCATTATTCCTGCTTTCATACTCTTTCCAGCCTCAGGTTTTCCTCATATCTTTCCTGCAGCCTCACTCTCCCTTGCCCTGTGGTCCTTCTCCATTGCTCTTTTGTTCTTATTTCCATTTGACTTTTCCATAAAAATTTCTCTTTTTCCCCCCTTTTTAAAGTCAGCATCCTACTGACTCATCTCTTCTGGGCTACCTCTTCAGGTACACATGTCCTTGAAACAAATCTGGGAAAGGAAAGAAATAACTTCTTCGTGGACATGGACTCTGCTGGCACAGTTTAACCCTACTGCCCCACTCAGTCTGATACATCTGCATAAACTTTATACTCTTGCAGAATGGGTATTTTTAAGGATTTCTGTAGCCAATAGTAAGTGAAATGAGTATTAACAAAGTCCCAAGACTGACATGTGCTTCAGGATGCTACTAGAAGGCATACAGGGAGGAGGAAGGACACCAAGGCACAGCATTTCAAGCTTTAATGTAGAACCTGAAGCATCTGGTTTCTGATGAAGAAAGGCTGAAATACAACATTTGATGTAGTCAGAGGTAGATCTGTTTGTGCTACTGCTCTTTTAGAAGGCTTAATGAAAAAAGTACAACCACAGGAGACTCAAAAGTAAGGCATTAAAAGGATGAGCAAAGGACAAGATTTCAGCCTAGTTTCTGATGCATGACATGCTATGGAGTGCTCTAGTATGGAAGAAATTCCAGAGACCTTCAAGATATGAAGGAATTTTTAAAAAACAGTAAAGATTTCAGAGCTGCACTGTGTTACACTATTCTCTTTTAAGTATGCATAGTTTCGCAGCTTCTGCAGTGCCAAGGATTCTTTTTTATAAACTTTGCATTTGATCTTATGAAGTATATAACTATACATTATCTCACATTAATACATGGTAATATAACTACACAAGGCATTTATGAATTAGTTGATCAGACTTTTGAGGAACCCCAACCCCCTGGAATGGAGAAACACACTGTCTGTGCCAAATACTGCCATAAATTGTACCCGTATGACTCTGATGCTGCTTGCAGCAGTTTTGATAGGATTTAAGGATAGGAGAGAACTGAATTCAGGCTGTTGATATAAATATCTCCTTGTACATGTGTAACGGTTCCTACCTTCTTTTTCTCATCAATTCTTCTATGGCCCTTACTCAGATCACAGTCCTGCTGCAGCCATTGCTGGGTTATTTTCCCGAGCTGCCAAGGATCCAACTGTGCTCATTTGGGATTTGTCTGCATGGAGTTTCCTGTAAGATCGAGACTTTTGCTGCTTGGAAAAAAGAGAGTCCAATTCATTATGTTTGACTGGCACCTAGGAAAATGAAGCTTTAACTGTAAGTGTATTATTCTACTAGTAATAATTATAATAGTAATTATAATATTATTGCTATTATATTTTCCTATTACATTATGGTACTAAAATATGTTATTATATTTTTTATTATTACAATAATTTACATAGTTTCACTATATTGAAACCAAGCCATACACACACACACACACATATATATATATATAGATATTTATATGAAGAGAGAAACACTTTTTGAAACCTAGTTTCATAGCTGCTGAAAATAGCTCATTTTCCAAGCTCTGGCTTTTTGGAGGGATAATCCCCAGCACAGTAGTAAGCCAAGACACTGTAGGCTGGAAACAAAAGTATATGACTCAAAAGAAAGGCTCTTATTCATGGCAGAATTACTGCAGCAGCTCACACTTCTGTGCTGGGACAAAGCAATCTCCAGAAGGGTGTGATCTTGGCTGAGGAGAAACAGTCTGAGTCCAGTTCTCCACCAGGTTTGGTTTGTGGTGTCTCATGGGCTGACAGGAAGGTCAGTCCCTACGCAATAGCTTGCCCTTCCCTGAGGAGCTGTGAAAAGCTGTGCAGAGCTCACTCCTCCGGCCACAGCCACAGAGGAAACAAGCTATTCACACACAGGCTCGCTAACACAGAGGTCCCAAAGCAGCTGCTGGCGCTCCCTGCTATTTTGGCACCTAGAATCCATTTTTTTAACGGTACTCTGTAACAGGTATGAAGTGTATCTGAGCATTGCAATTTATAATGCCACAGAAGGGGAAAAAAAAAAATCTTAAAAATGACAGCACAGCAGTGGAATACTTAGCTTAAACTTTGGCAAAATAATTATCTTTGTGCACTATACATAGTGTGATTTATAGTATGGCTTCATGAGAGACCAAATGAAACCCTGGGGTGAATTTTACTCAAAAAGTGCAAAAGTAAGATTAATGAACTGGAATTTTGCACATATACCATTCCACTGGACAGAGACGTCACTTTTGATGCTAGGAGTCCCACCAATATATTTATATTTTAATCCATTGATTCTTACATATTTTGCATAATTAACTTTGCATATTTATACATAATTATTATGAAGATTTATTACAGTGCCTCCCAGACATGCCAGATGCTTTAGGTACAGTTCCACATACACATAGTTCTCTGTTTCAAAGAGTTTAGAAGCTGGAAATGGAAGCTTGGAAATGTCTACACTCAGGTATGGCTTTCCTCACTTTATGTGCAAAAGTGTTTGCAGGGTTGGGCCCTGTACAAACAGCTGAAGTATGAATATGGCAGTCCTGAAAATCATGACTCTTGGACTTATTTGAATGCCATTTTTTTACCTTTTTGGAATCAGAAATCTATAGATTTAATACTCTTCAAATCTAACTTGGCTTGGAGATTATTCAGGGATGTAAATTTTGGGGGGGAATACTCTGGAAATATCTTAATTTTTCTCTCCAAGAGCCATATCAAAATGCAGTGGTACAAAGGGGACCTGAAAGCCCTTGTGAAAGAAATTGCTTTGGCAGGAGTGCGCTGAAATATGGCCATAGATGTTTCTGCAAGGAACCTTCTCTATGGAGGTTATGGCAGTACTCAGGATGGATTTTCAAGAAATTCCCATTGGTTCTTTGATCGATACATCTGGGGCACAGTGGGGGTTCTCCAGTCCTAAGCACAGTGGAACTAAGGTAATTTGCGGGGTGGTCAGCTTAACTTTATCTTCCTCAGAGTGTGAAGTGTCTCCAGGAAAAGCAGCACAGAACCACGGGGAGTTTTTCCACACTGAAACACCCTTTGTCCCCCACCCCAAGAGTCAAAGCAGAACCATGTGCTGCCCACAGAGCCCACCCTGTCCTTCCACTGCCTGTCACTGGGTCATTCCCCTCCAAGAGTGCCACTACACCAAAGCTGGTGCTCCTGTACGCCATAATTTGCCTGTGAAAGTACTTTTTGGCCAAGCCTAATGGATTTTTGAGTGGGAGGGCACAGTTGGCCCCCCGGGTGGTGGTGGCACTCACAGGCCTATGGTGTCACCTGGTGATTGCAGGGGCTGGCTGGAGCCCCAGGGCCCCGCTGGCACCCCCTTTCCGCCCTGTTCGCGCTCACTGGGCCTTTCTGAATGTTCCTTTTTCCCCCACACTAACCCAAATAAACAGAAGTTTCCATAATGATGATGAATGTCCACCAAAGGCTAAAATAATGTGCAAGTTTCTAATTTGTTTTTAAATATAGTGATTTTATTTGTGAGGTTTTTTGTGTGAGCCTCTCAAACACCATTAAACTCATACTCAAATATTTACAATGTGTTTATACTTACCGTGTTCACCTCTGAACAAATTGTTTGACCTTATTTGCAAATGTGTTACAAGAACTCCCAATGACAGATGATCTTTCATAGGAAATCACAACATGTAAGTGAAATTGAAGCTATGCTGCTGCCCCGTGCAGTATATCAAAGTGTTCTGATCTCCCTAAAACATAAATTTGTGGTGCAGCCACCCTGGCAGACCCTGGGTGGGGATGAAGAAGGGTCCTCCTTTAACCTCTGGTGCACAGACGCGCACTTCAGGGGTCAGTTTACACCATGCAAGATGAGGGCATTTGACGTGCAAAACCTGCAGGGCTGATGCTACCCAGTCACTCAAATCACATAATTAATGTGCTTCTGGGTTCCAATAATAAACAATTCTGATGCCTACTCACTACAGCCAAACTTCCCTGGCTAAATAAACAAGTTTTTGCTTAAAAATGTCTCTTATCCAAAATGAAGTTTTCCATCTATCAACCAATCCCACTATGAGCTTGTGTTTTTATGGTTGGCAGGGGAGACAGCAACTAATCTAGTTTCCCACTGATTATGTTAAGATTGAAAGAATTTATTAAAGAATTATTTATGTTTCTGTACCTATAAATTTTATGCTGACATTTGCTCACGTTATCTCCAGACATAGTAGTCATACTTAAACTATGTCATTTTAGCTAACTAAATATTATTCTATTTATGGAACTAATGGATGGTACAGGAAACATGAAATAAATATTGAAAGAAAATTTAGATCACTCAAATGATATATTTTTATATCTGAATGTCTAAAAAACAGACATCAAAGAGCAAGAGGGGGCATACCATTGTGTGTCTTACCCCATTGAGGAACTGAAAGGATCATTTCAAAGCATTTCCCATTTGCCAATAAAATGGTTTTGGTCAGACTCTTCTTTTGTTACTCAACAGCTCTTAATAAGATGGATGAACTGCAGGGGAAGCATTTTCTTCCACAGGTAGCGCTGTGGGCAACTTACAGGTTGAGAAAAATGGTGAAGAGCTCCTTCAAACCCAGTGATCCAACCCAGTCCTTACATCCACAAATTTTGTGTTGAACCATTTCCATGGGTATCACCAAAGCTACTGTAAGTCAGCAATCCTGATTTACAATATCTGTGTCCAGTAAAAGAATCAGGCCAATTACAGTTCCTCGAACAGGAGCCTAAGCAATGTCTGTTCCCAGTTTAGACACAGTCTAGACATCATTCTTCAGCCATCCTAAAGCCTTTCTGGAAAGACAATATTTCATAGTCATGTAATCATCGGCTCTTTGTTGACATGACCAATATGAAAGTCAATTGGTGTCAGCTGTAGTGGTGATTTTGTGATGGGAACATCTACTCATTTTTTTCTGAATGAGACTTAGTCTTGGCCACTGTTAATAGGGCACGGATGAAAGCTCCAGATCCTGTTACAAGTCCTTTGAGTAAACTAGTTACTCATAATTTTTTCACATAGTTTATCTCCTTTGATTTGTAAAATTGCTTCCAGTTGATGCTTTGGGTCCAGGTGCCTTTTGAGTTATAAAAAACCTTTGCACCAAGCCCCAGACAAATCCAAATGCTCCTTTCTACCTATTCTGATAGTTTAGGTGATGCTGTATCTTCCCCAGCCCTTCACGGTCCTTGAATTTTTCATGTCTGTTAATTAATCACTCTGACACACAGAGTTCTGCCACACCAAAAAATGTTGTAAATATTCTATATATAGTCCTCAAATAGGACTAGCAACTAGGGATTTCTGCTTTGTTCTTTTATCACACATATGTTTTACTTTGATGTAAACATTGTTTCAAAAACAGTAAAAAGAGCTTTTTCATGTTATGCATAGATTATTCCATAAACATATGCATCCTGTCAGACACAGTAATAATTAGAAATAGCTGTAGTTTCATTGCTGACTCCATAGTACTTCAAACTTCTTAGTTTTTTAAAAAGTAAAAACCAGATGCACATCTTTGATTCTGAGTAGAAACTCTCTCATTTCAATTAATTTCCCTGTCACCAGGACTCATTTAGTGCTCATAAATAACAAATAAATAACAAACCAAATAAACTCACTACATTTTTAAAATTTTACAACATTAACATTTCACATACAAAATTCAGCTGGGTAAAGGAGTTGAGGCTGGTTAAATTTGAAAATGTCCCACATAATAATTAAAGTGAAATTCAGAAGTGTTCTTACAAAATGACTGATTTTTTTATTGTTGTTCCTGAATATTTTTTTACTATTCAGACAAACTGATGACATGTATAAACCTCTGTTGTATCATAAAAATGTGGTCAAAGAAAATTTTATCGTAAAAAAGTTGAATTAAAAAGCTTTCAGAGGGATAGTGCATTTAAATGAGTCTTATGTCCCACACAGAGAGCTCTGTGGATAATAAGATTGGAGTACTCTGTTCAACACTGACATATTTATTTTTAATAAAACATTTATTTTTAATAAAACATCTAGTACAGGCTGTACTAGATGATCTCTTGATAACAAAGGCAAAGTTTAAAGGTGTTATTTGCTCTTACACCTGTTCATGCGTTGAACATCTTAGCTAGTAAGTATAGCAATGGCAATAAGAGAGAAGTAAAAGTGTGGTGTTTATTTAAACCTGACTGTCACAGGTAGCAGTAGATTAATTTTCATCATGTTTAATAGATTGGACTCAAAACTCAGTGAACTCAACAAAAATATCCACAGTGCCTTCAGGATGGATCAGGCATTTTTATACTGTCTGGTGTTAAAGTTCAGTGCAGCTACAAGGAAGTCATCTTGGGCACCCTCAAGGCCTCTGCAAAATGTTGTAGTTCCAAGCTGCACTTGTCTCTTACAGCTCCCCAGCTCAGGGCCATGCCACGTGCCCTGGGGAAGTGTTTTGTCCTACCACTAAGCCAAGCAGAGTCTCCTGGCTCTAAACTGGATGGCTTCACCTAGAGGTACTGCAGCTGCTCAGGGTAAGAGGGCCTGAGTGTCAATGGGCAATTGTGCTTGTCAGCTTTGCATCTTTCACTTTCAGCCCCTCCCTTTTTTTCCCTACTTCTTTTATAAACAAACTTTTCAGGAGAATTCTGCTTTGCAAGGAGCTGTGCCAAGTGACATGCTTAGTGAACTGTGCTACCCTGGATAATTAAGAAGAGCTAAACTCTGGGTTTGTTACAACAGCTTTAGCTGCAGAGCTATTATTGACACTGTGTAAGTATCAACAAAATAATTGCCCAGCGATCATACTTCAACTTTTATTTCTGAAATGCATTAAGTGAACTACTTCTAATGCTAATGTCTCTGAAGATTAATTAAGAGGGTTGGAGAGGAAATTTTTTTTAAAATACAGTTCAAGAAGTAACTTTTTCTACCAGATGTTTCTAATGTAGCTCTAAGAAACCAAGTGTCACATCACCTAAAAATTAGATTTGGCTCAGTGGGAATTTCCAGTACAATTTTGTTTTCTTCAAAATTATACCAGTTAGTGAAGAACAGAAAAAAATAGCTTTTCTTTGATGACATCACTGCTACAGTTTTCAAAAACATTTAGATAGATAGCAGATAGTCTGACTGTTATGAATTTCTCAGTGTGCTTTTGACTTCGGTGTATTTGAGATAATATCACATCTATCACAAAGAGCTTGACAGAGATGCTTTCTCTTCAATTCTCCCTTTACAAACAGGATTTGATCTACTTCCTCTTCTCCCCTCTGAGGCCAAGGAAATTCTTTCTGTTCACTCTTCAAGCATCCAAGTGTATGTAAAAAATTATTTTTGGTGTCAGGTATGCACTGATGTTTCTCTGAATAAGCATTTTGTGCTAGAAGAAATAAATTAAATACTATAAAATGAATAATGCTCCCAGGATTCCTTCTGCTGCTTAGCCCTCCATGCAAGTGGTGCCAAGCCTGAAAGGTAAACTAGAGTTTTCCCAGCTTGTTAAGCTGAGTCCTGAAACCTTCTGTGTTTGAGGCAGTGGGATACTGAGTATTCTACCACTACAAGCTCTTGTGGTTTTATGGCCAGATGGAGATGGGATTTAAATACCAACAGGCAGCAGGATACCAAAATTTAACTAAGTATCTTAATAGATAAGTGGATAAATCCGTGATTACATGCTGCCAATGGCTAATTGTTCATTGTTCAGAAATAAATGCCCCTAGCAATCCTTCAGCAGTAATGATATCAGCAATACTTATCAGAAACAGACTGATGCCTTTGTACAAATGGTGCTGATAAAGAACTCACAAAGCAGAGCAGAGCAGAGAACAATTCAAACAAGTGGAATGAACAAAGGAGTCTATGGCTTATCTTTCATGGCATTTTCCATGGCTTCAGAGTATCTGACAGTGGAGCTGATGGGAATATATACTTTCCATGACAACAGTTACATATGTCGCTTGCACTTTCAATGTCTCTGCTGGAGCAGAGCATGCTCAGTCTCCTGCCTGCTGATGCAGGGCGGGGCAACTCTGGCACATGGGATAAGCCACCACTTCAGCTATACTGGCCCCAGAGTGATAGGTGACTTAAGGTCCTTAGGATGGTGTCTTGGGATGGTTGTTTTCTGCAGCTGCACCTGTTTGTCTCCAGATAAATCTAATTTTTTTTTTTCCATAGTCACCACAGTTCTCATCCCCAAAAGAGCAACCATAGCAGAAAACCCCAGGGTCACCATTTGTCACTCTTGTATTTGCTAGACCACTGTCTTACTTCATTTGTACCATGCTGTGGGTTTCCTGTAAGAAAATATTAGATTTTATTTTAATCCTCATTTTTTATGTGATGAGCCTCACATTATGTTCATCCATATCCCTGCCGTTCCATGAACAGTTTGTAAAGACGGACTTGGGACTGGAGCCTACATTGCTTTAAATAATTAAAATAATCATGCTTAAAATAATCTTGCCTCATCCTCTTTCTTTATAACAAAAATATTGAGGTCACAGGGAGTGATTCATTTCATTTACACTACCTGAAAACAGCGGAGCTTTTCTCTTTCCTTGTCTCTCAAAACTTATTCTTGCTCTTTCTCCTTCTGCTTTTATTGCTTTCTTTCCCATCCTCCTTTTCTTTTTTTCACTATAGGGTCTTTGCTGTGCTCATTAACACCATATCTGAACCTGTGATGGCTTGCTTTTTCTGCCTTCAAAATAATTGAAACAAATTTACTGTTAATGTTGTCTGAATTTAAGTTTGCACCTACTCCAGAGGGAGTTTTGTACTGCAGTAAAGCAGTTTCATAAGAGCAAAGGTAGCAGAGTGCAAAGCCAAGAAGCATTTTGTAAGATAGCCTGGATTGAAAAAATAATGATCCTTTGCTCTTAGCTGTAGTGCTTTATAACAAAACACTGAAAAAAATATTGCAGCACAAGGAACAGCCTTCCAGTGTTCATTGGATGCATTCCTATGAAAGACCTTCTTGTCAAATCTAAGACCTGACACAGAACTATCTGAGCCTCACCTAATATATAGATTCCTGTTGTTATTGTACTGTGGAATAAACAAACTCAGACAAAGCAATATCCAGAGTAATTCAGCTCACACACACGCAAACAAGTTTAGAAATTGGGATGATTTACAGTTTACATTAAACTGAGAGTCAAGTGGCTTGAGGAAAGCTCCAGCAGAGAATGCATGTGAAGTAGAATAGAGCTTCATTGGACCTCTCTATTGGTTGAACACATAGCACAGCTTTGTTGGAGCTGTTGTCCTTGCGTTCTTGTGTGACTGATAAACAAAGCAATCTTGCATCCTGGCTTATGAGGATAAAATTACTAGTCAGCAAATTAATGTTACTTCCTTGGGCAATAATAAGCACTTAAGTATGTGCTACCTGTGCTGGGGATCCCAGAACTGGATGTAGTACTCCAGGTGGGGTCTCACAAGAGTGGAGTAGAGGGGCAGAATCACCTCCCTCGGAATGCGGTTGGCCGCCTGGGCTGCAAGTCATAGCTCATGTCCAGCCTCTCATCCACCAGCACCCCCAAGTCCTTCTTGGCAGAACTGCCCTCAATCTGTTCATCCCCAGCCTGTATTGATACCAGGGGTTGCCCTCACCCAGGTGCAGCACCTTGCACTTGGCTTTGTTGAACACCATGAGGTTTCCATGGGCCCACTTACCAATATTGTCCAAGTCCCTCTGGGTGGCATCCTATCCTTCAAGCTTGTCAACTGCACCATATGAAAATGGGGAACCTCATTACTTCCAGTGACTATTCAAACTACGACTTCTATCTCCTGGTTTACTTTATATAATATGTTGTCAACAGAATAAGCCATTTTTAACAGTTTGATCAGGAATTAAAAGTGCAGTTAGTAGATATGGAGGTATATGGAGGATACCTCTGGTCAGTCTTCCAGATATGGTTCTCGCTTACTGAAAAGAATGAACTGTGGAAACTTCATCCCTTTTGCTTTTTCAGGTGGGTGTTAACTTTTCCAAGCAGCTGTCTGCAATATGTGTGGCCCCATATCTCATGAGAGGCATTTTTGATACCCTCTGAGGTTAAGGTTTCAAAAAATGTTATTGAAAAAAAGTCCCTACTTAGAATATTTTTACTTCGAATAGTTATAAAAGGGGAAACCCATGCCCTGAGTTTGAAATCCACGTTACTTTCCATGTGGTTCACACATGTGTAACATAGGCATGTTTTTATGAATCGTTTGTATATTCCTTAGCCAGACTCCTGTGTTTAAACAAATGTGGAAACAACACAATACAGCTGTATAAGGAATTTTTTGTTCATAAGTAAGATCTATAGATTTTTAAAGCTACACTTTCAGCAATAAAGAAATTGTCCATATTCCTGGAATGTACTTCGTGTCTCGATAAAATCTTTCATTGTTTTGGTCTGGAAAGAAAAAACGTACAAACTTTATAATGATGCCAACTTAGCAGTGCAAGTAATAGTCAAGGCTGAAGGTGCTATTCATTACTAAAATATCAAAACAGGCCTGTCTATTTGGCAAGAAGATTAGTTCTAACGTTGTTTCTAAAATTATTAACATATTAAATGAACTGCTTCAGAATTTAGGATAGTTGAACACTAAAAAAAATTACTGAAAAGTGAAATACAAAATAAATGGCCTTTATTGGCAGTTACCTCCAAACATTTTTTCTATCTCTTCCCTTTTCTTTTAGACCATGAAAGGAATATCTTTGGATGGTTGCAATAGCATATGAGAAAATAGCCTCCTTTCTTGTACTGGATGATTTAAAATATTACTTCCTGAATTACTGTACTCTGAATCATCCAAGAAGTAAAGACCTAAAAACTGAACACATAGCCACTTGCCAAAATAAAGTGCTGAATTTGGACAAAGTGGATTTCAGGTGTCAGATGTAAGGTGCTCTACAAGATACATTGTCTGGTGTCTGCTCCACTACTAATTTGATGAAAAGATGAGTCAAGTTCAAATTCTGTATTGCCAATACAAAGAAAATTAACTGCCTTTTGCTGGCATATCATTCAGTCTTATTGCTGTGTCTCAGATACAGTGTAAAACTGTGTTCTGCTCACTGTTTGACTGGAAATGAATAATTCCTAGCCCTCTCAAAGAGGTGCCATGCACTACCTTCCCAACAGTGTCTCTGACTGTGCTGATGACTCTTATGTTTCTTCTCTGCTCAATTAATGTCTAAAGCAAGACGCCCAACATGTTCATCACCAGGTTTGGTATATAGGACAAAATTTCTTATTCCCTTAAAATTTCTTATTCCCTTCTTGTCTCAATTTCCCACTGAGAAGATATTACTGGACTTGTCCTCCTGTAGGGTCCTTCATGAAAACTAGTAAGGAAGCTTCTTGCACAGACAGTATTATTTTTGTTTCAATGAGGTTTTAAAAATCTGGTTAGTATCAGACTTCCAAAAGAGTAGAAATATTTTTTCCATGGAGTGTGAAGTCAACCCAAAATATAAATGCCCACATGAGCTCAGTTAATGAGTTTCTATCACTAAAATAATCAGCACTTATTCTACTTGATTGATCATTAAACATACTTTTATTAAAAATATTGGTTAATGAAGATGATCTTATACTCTCCATGGAAAGAGAAGACTTCTTACAAAATTACTTATAAGAAATAAAGTAAATGAAGCCAAAATTAGAGTTTGCATTTACCTTCCACAAACTGAGCTTAAGCAACAGTAAGCATTTGTGTCTAAAGTATAGTTACACAATTTACTTCCAGGGAAGACTGACGTTTCTGAACACTTCCAATTTAGCATAACACGGGGATTCATGAAAGGTTTTATGTAGTTTAATATGCACTCTTTTTTGCATAAGGAAGAGCAGTGTTTGAGTTGCAATAGTAGATATGCTCCATGCTGATGTGCCGTTTTAACCCTCAGCATTTCTAATGGCAGCTAATGTGTACCAGGGCAAATAGACCCACACAGACTAGACATTGACAAATTATTTTGCTCAAAGTTTAAACTGGCAAACTCAGTCTTTCAGAAGGAATTGATGTTTTTCACCATGTAGCACACCCTAGATTTCACCACAATTATCACTGACAGTTTTAGGAACTGTGCGATCAAACGAAGGCATGAATTGGATGAATCTCATCCAACTGTGTGGAATTCAAATCTGTATTAAAATTATTCTAGAAAAAATAGTAAAACTGGTTTAGTGGGGGATTTTTAGCCTTGCATATGAAAAATGGATTTCTCCATTCCATAGTTGCATTATGAAAAGAAAGCGATGAGAGGAAAAAGAAATGGAGAAAATTTCCCACATTTTTAACAGGTAGAAGTCCTGTCAGTGTTACTTAACTCCCTTTTTTTACTCTACTTAAAAGCTTTAGGTCAGTTTAAATAAATTTTAAAAAAATTAAAATAATTTAAAAAAGAAAGCCAAAGCATGTGATTTTAGAAATACCTTAATTAAATGTTTTGACTTTTGTGCATAATTTGGGGGGGTTTGGATTTGGTGTTTGTTTTTTTTTTTCCTAGCTGATATA